AGATATAAGAAATGGTATGTGGTTCCCAAATAGGAACTGTGATGACTAACTGTGATTGTCACCGTGATTAGATGAAGACATTCCTAGAGCATTAGTGAGGATACCTTTGGGCATGTCTGCAAGAAACTTTCTAAAGAAGGTTAACTCAGGAGGGAAGGCCCACTTTGAGTAGGCCTCATCATGGCATGGACTGGAGTCCAGACTGAACAAAGGAGAAAAAGGAATTGGCCGAATGAGTGTTGGCATCCACCCCTCTCTGCTGTGATTTCAATTGTTTCTCCCACCATGACTTCCTCAATAAGATACTATACCCACAGACCTGGCGCCAAATCAAATCCCTCAGGCCTCTACTTGTTGGGTGGGCACAGTATCCTGAAATTACCAAATATGGACACTGTGAGGCTCCCATTTCCTTTTGCTTCTTGGTGACTCTAATGGGGCACTCTATGCATGGATATGGATGGGTACGCTCTAAGCAGGGACGTGAGTGGTTCTTACCAGGTGAATCTCATCCTCAGACCCTCTGCTCAGCACATGGAAGACAGCACACCCTTCATCAACCTCCATCCAACCCCTCTTTTATTTGTTGTGTTTCTATTTTTTTTTTTTACTTTCCCTATCTCTAGCTTTATCAAAAGATAGTTTGGTGCTTTTCCCATAAGCTCACAATCTGAGCAGGAGATGCCAAGTTTCTAAGATTTATGTGGTGGCCAAGAGTTATATGAAAAGATATTGTTACCCTGTCTCTGAAATGATGACAAATGCAGCTGTTGCCTGTTTTCTTCCAATCTGCCTTTATAATCTTGTATGGCAAACATACCACATTTGTCACTGACAAAATGAAATACATTCTTATCTGTTGTTTTGGAAAAGGATAAATAACCAGACAATAATTTCCAAACACTCTGGAAAAGGTTATACAGATTCCCCAGTGCTAATCACAAGTGCAGAAACGGTGAGGCTTTGCAATTCCAGTTTTATCTCTTCTCACTGGGCGGCTTATCAAACCTTGATAGGGAGATCTTTGGAACTTGGCATAAGACACAGGCTAAGAAAAAACTATGCTACAGGGGTTTGAATGTACAAATTCTACCCCTCTTAGACATTTATATAATGTAACAACTGACATCTGGTTATAAAACTAGCAAAGAGCTTTCTTAAAAAATGTATTATCTCCATGAGAGTTTAACAAGATATATTCTTGTTAGATTGTTTTCTAAAAAGGAAAAAAACAAATCTCAGAGCGATGAAACCAGCGGTAACCTTCAGGTTCAAGTCCCAGCCTTTGCCATGCCCTCAGTGACCCCACTTGTTTTTCCTTTGCCTCCAGGGCAGGGCTGAAGTCAATTGGGGAGAAAAACTCCCCAACAACACTGGTAGTTTTTTTTTTTTTTTTCTTCATTCTTTGGGCAAAGTTAAATGCTGCTTAACACCTACTGGTATCTTTTGAGGTGTACATGGGATTGGTGAATTTTCTAGGGTAATGAGTATTGTGTTCTTCCATGTTTTGTGCCTTCTGTTCCCTGGCACTGTGGTGGTCATTGATCTTTGTTCAGAGACTGAAGTTTTCCATTGCATGGTAGAATGTCCCTAGCTATGGCCCCAGACTCAGTGTAAGATGAGTACAGTGTACGGCCTTAAAGGAGACATCTAAATTCCCAATTGCAGCAGAAGAAATTTCTCTTCCAGATCAAGGCTAAACTGAGACAAGAGAAGAGGTGAATCTATGGTTACCTTTCAATGTTTTGAGGTTCAAAGCAATTCCCCCCATTCCGGTGCTATATCTTCCAGTTGGCAATGCACCACAATGTCAGTCTATCTGCTCTGTATATTTAAAACTAATCTCTCTTATGAAAATTCATCGCGTCAGACTGCTCATCACTTTACATTTTAAAGATCATTCTCGAGTACATTGGTAAAATGCCTGCTACATACGCATAAGGACCTAAGTGCAGTCCCAATGCCTACTTAAACAGCGAGGCATGGTACTATGTACGTGTAACCCCACTGTTAGGGGTACTGAGACACGCAGTTCCCTGGGAAGGCCCAGTGCTTGTTTTTATGAGGCTGAGTGTAGACAGGATCTTAATCTACTGTAGCAGAGACACCTTCAGAGAGCCTACAAAGTAAGGAATGTCTCAGGGCTGAGAGAACTTTTGGAATCACTGCATAGGCTAAAGATGGAGAGGTGAGGCTGAGCTACAGAAGCCAGCTTAACCTTTAGACTTTAAGGCCAAAGCTGTGGAATGAGGGAGCAGCCAGTCTGTGTTGGTGTAAGACAAAGCTGTGAGATGTGTGCCTCTGGCTTTGTGTCTTTCCAGTAGCTCGTTCCTGATTCTAAGCCTAATGTCTGTACCTGACAGGCAGGTCCTAAAGCATTTTGGCAGGCTAGGCAAGTGGGGGTCCAGCATCTGCAATTGGAATGGGAATTGAGTGAAGTCCTCTATTTCATCTGCCAGCTTTGTTCTTTGTTTCAAAGAACAAAGCTTGTGTCTCATCTCTATCCCGTGCAGATACCCACCCACCCACTCACCCACTCATCCACCCACCCACCCACCCACTCATCCACCCACCCACCCACCCATCTACCCAAATGATGCTGTTTTTGTTTGGCTTCTTCTATTATCTTTGAAAAAAAAAAAGACTCTGTTTCAGAATGTATTTCAGCCACACACAACAACAATAACAACAGCAACAAATTCTTTAAAAATATAACCACAATATCATTAGCACAGTAACATTTTAACAAGAATTTTTTAAATAGCCTATCAAACGTCTAGATAATATTCAGTTTTCTCCAGTTGTCTCAGAACTTTAGGTGAGAATGCAAATCCACTTTCTCCCAGTCAGGTTCCAAATGATACTGTCTTGGGGCTTATAGCATCCAATGTCACTTGGACTCTCAGGGTTCTCTTAGTCTGTTCTCCCTCCGTTCCTCTCCCTTTCCCCCTTGCTATGGTCTAGGCTTTCTTGCTCTTCTCTCTCTCTGCCCCTTGCATTCCTTCTGCTCCTGCTTTATACAAACCAGCTCACTGCCTTTCCGTTTCTGGCAGCCTGGGAGTTCCTTGCTGACTCAGCTTATTGGTCTTGGCTCTTTTTGTGGTTTGTATAAAACAGGCAGTCAGTTTAAGAGGATTGTCTGAATTAAGTTTAACTTAATTGTGAAAGTCCTTGCTGAATCTCTTTGTTGAGACTTTTTCATGCCTTCCTCATTCCTTAGACTTCGAGAAAATTTTTCAGCAATTATTTGACTTTTCTAGGGTCGATTTGTACAGAAACAAACAAACAAACAAATCAAAAACAAAAAACAAACAAACAAACAAAAAACCCAGAGTCGATCTTAATTTCTGAGTCCAACCCCCTTTCCATTTTGCTATCAGCTCTTAGAAAGGAGAATTGGTTCCTTAGGGTCTTTTCAAAAATGGGGTTTTTATAGGACTGATAAGTTTCTGTATCTATAGCACAGGTATGTATTACAATCATTTATTATGTATGGCTGGTCAGAGGGCTCCAAAGAGAATAAAGACAAAGAAGCAGAAATGCTACCCTGACTTGATTAGTACAATTATTATGTTAATCATGAGATGAAAAGGTGGTTACCTTTATGAAATTATAAATTCAGACTTATTTCTTTCATCCCATTCATTGTAGTTATTTTAAAAACTAACTATCTAATTATCAATCTTTGATTGAAAGGAACTTTTTTAGTCCTTTTGACACACTTCTAATAATCTTGATGAGTTTCTTGAATTCTTATATAATAAAATATTATAGATTTGGCTCATGTAATTCCTATTCCTGATCCCAGAGAACAACTGTCTCTCCAAGAATATTTGGTTTCCTGAGCAAGAAGTGATGTATAGGATAATATAGATGCCACTGAAACACGTGTTTTCTTAAAGTCATTCAATTTTAATTATTGAAAGGTTAAAGAATAAAAAAATCTATGACTGTTAATACAGAGTACGTGAACTCAGCACCATGCCTTTTTAGGCCCAGAAGTGGTAGACACAAGAAATGTATTAAGAAAATTTGGAACTTAGACAGATGGTTCAGTTATTAAAACAACTTGTTGCTCTTGTAAATGTTCAGTTCCCAGGGTACATCATCCTCCCCTTGCTTTGTGCTGGGTGTTTCTCTTTCTGTTTAGGGTATGAATACTAACAATTCACAACAGTCTGCATTATAAGGCTTCTTTGGCCTCCAGGCTTAGCCTTCCCTGATGACTGTCAGAACTCCATATCAAGGGGCCCCCCACACCTCTAACAATATGACCCATGCTGGAGCAGCTACATGACATCTTTCCAGTCTCAAAGACCAAGGAAAGAACATAGCACCCTAAGGAAACAGGAAAGCACACATTTCAGTGGTAGTACTCTGCCAAGATGTTCTGTAGCCCCTACTCCCATATCTGCAGAGCTGCCCCTCCTGAAAATTCACATTTCCCCTCCCTCTCTATCTGCTGCCTTGGAAAAGCTAGATCTGTTACCTTTAAGACTTTTAACCAAAGTATGTGCCTCTCTCTCTCTCTCTCTCTCTCTCTCTCTCTCTCTCTCTCACACACACACACACACACACACACACACACACACACATGAATCACATTCTTATTTAATTTGGACTGTTTACATTTTACTAAAATCACGGCTTTATTCTGAAATAGGAATATGTATTACTCAGTGCTTCCTGTAGCCCACACCCATGTCCAACAACATTCATTATCCAGATCACAGGATGAATAAATATAGCAGATTCTTTAATAATCCGGATTGCAGGTCTGCCACAGAACTTGTTATACTGGAAAAGTTGCATTAAGATTGAAATGACCTTCAGTCTAACAGGCCTTCTGCAGTGTCTACCTCCAATAGCAGGGAGGCTCGGGAGAATGAATGTAAGCTTTCTTTAATCAATGTACTTTAGTCATAACCTCCTGCTGTGGCTGCAGGTATGCTAATGAGAACTTTACTGCTCCTGGACTTGACTATGGAATCTCTCCTCAGTAGATTTGGAAACGCATTGAGAAATTAGCCTGGGCAACCTGCAAGGCACAAGGCACAAGATTCTGCATGGCCATTTGTTCTCCTGGGAGGTGAACACTTGCTTTGATTCACAGAGTCAGGTAAGAGTAACTTTTTATTTTATTTTTTTAATGAAGAGAGATGGAAAAGGAACCATAGCTCATCTTATCGTCTAGACCTGGATACAATCTAGGGGTTTCACCTATCGTAGTTTTGGAAGCCTGTTTGTGTCAAATTGTTTGTTTTCATTGTTGTCTCCTTAAAAAAATGGATCTTTGTGTTACAAAGATGTGCCAAATAGCTAAGCTTGCTGGAGTCTGACTGACTGGGTGAGCCATTTTGGAATCTAGAATCATTTAAGTTACAGTAAAAGATGCAGTGCCTCATGGTATGTCTGTATTCTGAGGATGAACAAGACATCTGTCTTCATGTTTGATTTGAGGTTATATTCATCAATGCTAGGAATAAACAGGGCTAATCAAAAGTCTTATTTCCTTAAAAGGACTGTAAGGTCAGATAAAGCAGTTTAAAAAGAATGGTAATGTATTAGAAGCAATCCCAGCAGATAGAGTGGGGAAGCATATGAAGTAGACCATTCAAGTAATAAGAGGTTAGAACAAGTGAGTTATTGGTTTGTATAGAGGGTTGGTACTGTAAAACCAAGACACATACATCCAACACACACACACACACACACAAAACACACACATAGACACACAGACACACCACACACACACACACACACACACACACAATACACACACAATCTCTGTGCTTCATAGACAAGCTGTGATTACATTTATATATAGTCTTCATTCTGATGATCTAGGGTTGAGATGCCCAGTTGTTCCTCATCTTGGCTTAGAAGAAGCACCTAGGAATAAAGCTTTAAGCAGGTATTAAGTATAATGGGCTTAAAGTCCACTACAGGAAACAGCAGCTAGTGACAGGTAAGTGTCCTTCGGTATCAGAGGTTCAGAGGGATGTTTTCAGTGTGCTTTCTCATTCTTGAGACTGGTGAAGGGAATTGGGACTAAGACATAGACCTAATTAGCCTTGCCCTAGATCTGAGGTTGCCCTACCATTGTGTTGAGGGTGATGGTAGTCACCATAAAGAAGGGGAAAACATCTCAGTAAGAAGAAAATGTGTGCCCATCTTTTGTCCCTTCCCAGGTCTATCCAGCTCAGAAGTTCTGCCATTGTTGATCTTTTCACCTCTCGTCCAAAGATTGCAAAATCCAATGCTTACAGAAACCAGGAAGTGATTTAGATGGATTAGGCCCATAGGCAGGGATTAGAAGCTGGAGAGTTCCTGGCACACAAGAGATAGCATTGCTGCCATATTTTGGGCACTCCATTTGAGTAAATGTCAACTTTCAGATTTTATAAGTGTAAATTCTACCCTAGCAGAGAATCTGATGATGATTCTGTTAATTTTGTTGTCTGTGTTAAATCAAAACAAACCTTTGTGTGGGCCTACAGAATGTACCTAATATATCTCCAGCTAGTTTGAAACTCGTAGGTGAACAGCATCTTAGCCTGAAAGGACTTACTTTGAGGTCAAGTCCTGGGATTTCAATTCTGTATGCCTTTGTGAGCTTTCTAAAGCACAGGTTAAGAAAATAGACTGGGCACAACTCAGCTGTGAGGAGTTCTTGTTCTTGGTATAGTTAGTTTCTAGCACCTGCATGGTGGCTCACAACCATTTTTGATTCCCATTCTGACAAATTTGACATCTGATCTCCTTAAGAACCAGGCATACATGTGTTACATATACAAACATGAGAGAAAAACACACATGTAAAATAAATCAAGAAAATTTTTAATGAAAAATTGCTTTGAAAATTTTACCTGGGTTTTTAATAACCCTCTAACATTGAACTTGGAAAAGGTGTCCAGTTTTGATGTCTTGAAATGTAATGATAAAGACTGTCATTTGAGTACTTAATTACATCTCAGGCGACCAAAGAAGTAATACAGGTAGCATAGCATTTTATGAAATTCTGTAACATTGATACTAAAATGATCACCGCATACCTTAGGTTGAATACCTAAAAATTTCCTATGAGTTCTCTGTAAGGAGAAAGTAAGAGATTTCAACTCTATAGTTAGGCTTCAGAATTTAGTTTTAAAACACCAAGTTATAATTCTTCTTGTTATAGTGTAGAGCATTGGTTCTTAACCTTTAATACGGGTTCTAATTAATTTAATACAGGTTCTAATCCTTTAATACACTTCCTAATGTTGTAGTGACCCCCCAACCATAAAATTATTTTTATTGGTACTTCATAAGTGTAATTTGATATAGTTATGAATTGTAATATAAATATCTGTGTTTTCTGATAGTCTTAGGCAACCCATGTAACAGGGTCAATCGGTTGACCCCTAAAGCGGTCGCCACCCACAGGTTGAGAACCACCATTGCATTGGATTTTTTTTTTTTATTTTAAAACTCCTGAAGTCACATTGAGTGGTGATAAATTCTTCTAAAACATTTTAAAGAAAATGATAAAAAAGTACTTTTGTGAAACAAAGGAGTTGTAAGCTATGTGACATTTTTCTGATCACTGAAATAAAGATTTTCACTAATTGCTGACTTGAGCTACTAGCGTCCTCTTCTGTACTGGGTAGTCAGTGTAGGTGCCAACAGAGTTTGAGTGGAATGCAGTGGGTTTCATCTCCATTTGGACAAGAAAAAATTAAAACATTATCATTATCATCATCATCATCATCATCATTATTTTATTATTTTTAAATAAGTTTAGCTGGGCATGGATTCTCTAATCCTAGCACTTAGGAGGCAGAGACAAGCAGATATCTTTAAGTTTAAGGACAGCCTGGTCTACATAAAGAGACCCTGTTTCCATAAATAAATAATTGGTTTAAGTTATTTTACTTTATGTTTATGAGTGTTTTGCATGCATGTATGCCTGTGCACCACTTACATGTCTAGTGCCCACAGGAACCAAAAGAAGGTGTCAGATCCCCTGGGACTAGAGTTACAGATGGTAGTGAGCCTCCACTTGGGTGCTGATGATCCTGGGTCTTCTGGAAGAACAGTACCCTTTACCATCAAGCCAGCTTTCCAGCCCCTGGACAAGTTAATTCTACTTAGTTTATAAGCAAAGAATACAACTCTGAGCCAGCTAGCCCTCTGCAAAGTACAAGCAGTGTGTTGTGTATCAGTCAGCCTATGAAAGCACTCTCAGCCCAGACCTGTGTATAGACCCGTAAATAATACGATTGCTGTAAACAGAAGCCGTATGGTATAGCTAAGGAATGCCAATGAATTTTACTTCAGGTGCCAGTGTCAAATCACAGGAGTGGTTGCCAAGAGGATCATTGTACTGAGAAAGATTTGGAAACCATATCTAGGCTTTTCACAAAGAGTACTTTTATTTAATAGTCATATTTTTCTAAGGACTTGGGACATGGAGACAGAGGTAAGTGTGTTTTGTGCTTGCCATCCTTGGCATAGTCTACTGAAATGGACAAGCCGTGATTGCTTAGTTAGTCTTGGGTAGTGTGAAGCGCATGTCTGTTAATCTGTAATTTCTTTTCTTCCTGTGTTTCTCCTACCATCTTTGTGTCTTAGGAGAAATGGCAAAGCGAACCTTCTCCACCTTGGAAGCGTTCCTCATTTTCCTTCTGGTAATAATGACAGCCATTACAGTGGCCCTTCTCACCCTCCTGTTCGTCACCAGTGGGACCATTGAAAACAACAAAGGCAAGTGTCTCAGGCTCTTCTGAATGTCACTCTGGGACTGTTGGATGTTTCTAGATTGTTGGGCATCACCAAGATTAGCAATGATGCCTTTCTGCTTCAGCTGCCTGTGGGCAGCCTGAGATGGCTGTCTTCCACTGCACTGTTTGTGTTTTCTGCAATGATAGCAGCTTTTATCACAGCTACCTTTGCCCACAATAGCCAGATAACAGACAGTTACACAAATCCTCTTAGTTTTTCTGTTGATGCATTCATAGTTCAAGGTTCTTTGAGTCTAGAAAGTTCACCTTTCAATACTAAGCCTTCAGTTTTCACCTGCCTGTTAATTGGCTTGTTTTTCTACCGGGATCAAAGTAGAGACCAAACCAAACCAGCCAAACAAACCACCCTAAAACAGTAATGCCAGGTTCTCAGACCCAGTCCCTACAAGGGCCAGTCAACTTCTGTAAACAAGGTACAATTTATCATGATATTATCTCTAATCTTAACTCACCCAAAGTTTCTGAGAGGAGATAGAAATTGTGGCATTTAGATATTGATTTCCTTGTTGCAATGCTGAAGGCGAGTTTAGTTTCTGAATGTGGCCCAGGGTGCATTTCTAGCTACTGTCATCATTGGTCCATGGATGGAGCCTTTGTTTCAGAGCATGACTGTTAACTGAGCAGAGAAGATAGACGAGGGCTTGATGTTTTGATTAAATTAAAGAGGGAGGGGAGAGGAGAGAAAGAGGGAGGGAGAGAGAGAGGTGGGAGAAGGATATACAGGGAGAGAGAGGGAGAGGTAGGGGGAGGGAGAGAGAGAGAGGAAGAGGGAGAGAGAGAGAGGGAGAGGGAGAGAGAGGGAGAGGGAGAGAGAGGGAGAGGGAGAGGGAGAGAGGGAGAGGGAGAGGGAGGGGGAGGGAGGGAGAGGGTGAGAGAGGGGGAAGGAGAGAGGGAGAGGGGAGGGAGGGAGAGAGAGAGGGAGGGAGAGAGAGGAGGAGGGAGGGAGAGGGAGAGAGAGGGGAAGGGAGAGAGAGGGGGAGGGAGGGAGAGGGAGAGAGGGGGGAGGGAGAGAGAGGGGGAGGGAGAGAGGGAGAGGGGAGAGGGAGAGGGAGAGAAAGGGGGAGGGAGGGAGAAGGAGAGAGAGAGGGAGGGAGAGAGGAAGAGGGAGAGGGAGAAAGAGTGGGAGAGAGGGAGAGGAAGAGAGAGAGGGAGAGAGGGAGAGGGAGAGAGGGAGAGAGGGAGACAGGGAGAG